CATGATGAGCTGCAGCTGGTCGTAGCCCGACAGCACACCGGCGCCCGCCACGGCGCGCAGGATGTTGGCGCCGGCGCCCTTGAAGAGCGACTTGACGCCCTCGTTCTTGATCACCTGGCTGAAGCAGTCAATGGACGAGTTGTACTTGACGGCCTGCCCGCTGGTCATCATCATGCGCCGCCGCACGGTGTCGATGGGGTAGCTGGCCAGGCCGGCGCCGATGGTGATGCCCCAGCCCAGCAGGAAGGAGGCCGCAAAGTTGTCCGCCAGGTCGCCGACCAGCAGCACGGGCTTGAGGCTGTCGTACATGCCAAAGTACAGGCCGCGGTACACCACGATGCCCACGCACGAGATCACAAAGCCGCGGTACAGGCCCGCAATGCCGTCAGACGCGATGGTCTTGCGGTAAACGTCCACCATGCCGTTGAACTCGCGCGTGCCGCCCTTCTTGGCGCTCTTGTTGTCGTTGGCCAGGCGCGTACGCGCGTAGTCCAGCGAGTACACAAACGCCAGCGACGTCGCGCCCGCAGCGCCACCCGACGCCATGTTGCCTGCCATGAAGGGATGGGAGGGCGTGCGGGGTCGGCGCGGAGGGGTGTCAATGCCGCTGGGCGGTTGGCGGCTCAAGCAGTGCCTGTCGCTGCGCCAAGAGCTGCCCTGCCTGAGGGTGGCCACCGGTCACGTCACACCAACTTGTCACTGCAGCAGCACGCAACCACGCAGCCGGCGCAAGCAATCTTAGTGAACCCGTTTCGCACCACACCAGCTATGGCTGTGCGACGCTGGCCCTTGCCCAACGCCAGCTGCCCTTTGCCGCAGACGCAGCGCCCCAGGCCCGTCCCCGCCCCCTCACCGGCAAACCACGCCCAGTAGCCGTCACGGTCCTTGTTGAAGGCAAACAGGCGCTTGTAGTAGTCCTTGAAGGCGAAGTTCAGCGCCTGGGTGGGGAAGTACCGCACCACGTTGGCGGTGTTGCCGCGCCACAGGCTGACGATGCCCTCGTCGGCCACGACCTTCCTGAAGCAGTCGCCGATGCCCTTATAGGGCTCGGACAGGCGGCCCTGCTTGATCATCTCATCCTGGTTCTGGATCAGCAGCTTCACGCGCTCGATGGGGGCGGCCGCAGTCTTGGAGACAGCAGCGCTGTGCAAGCGTTCCGGGAGCGGGCAAGAGCATCATGAGCGGCACGCAGCGTGAGCGAGCAACCCGTGGTCTTGTCAGGGGCTGACAGCTGCAAGAATTCTCAGCCCAAGCTGCCAGAGGCCTTCCCTGACACGATCTCACCAGTCGATACCGATGAGCGTGCGCAGCACTGCATGCGCGCTCACGCGCTGCTCGCGCGCAACCGCTCTGGCGGGCCGCCGGCGCCGACGCACGCGCTGCAGGCGCCAGGTCGCACGGATCTGGTGCTAATTTCTTTGCGGCGGCTTTGCGTCCCCCCGCTGCTCACCTCACGCCTCCCATGAGGAAGTCCACCAAAAAGTTCTTCTCCACCTTCCCCCCCTTCTTGCCATCCTTGCTCATGGCTGCTGGATCTAGTTCTGAGGCTCCCAAACAGGGACTGGATGCGTGCTCAAGGCGCGCGGTGCCGTGGGAGGGCTTGGTGCGCCAAGCCGCGAGGGAACCCTTGCTGAGGCAGCGAGGGGAGCAGCCTGCGATTGCAGGAGACCTATGTGAACAAAGACACAACGAGCAGGTCTGGGGTGGCTGTCGAGGGCCGCAGGGATGGCTGGAGCACCAGCAGCCAACGGGGCGGCCAGTATTATAAACCCGTGGGCCGCGGCCAGGTCGTGTGACCAACCAGAGGTCGCCTTCACACGTTGATTTGCTGCACTATTGTATAGTACAACTCGCCACGCTGATGGCGCAAGGCCCAGCGGCGGGCGACCAGCAGATCTGTATCGCAGCGTATCGCAGCACAAGCACTCCACACGCCGAGGCACACCGCGCTCAACCGTATGTTAGACAAGCTGCGCCAGGGGGATCGTCAGGTGTCGCGCATGTGCAAGGGTAAACTGGGGTGCAGGCACAAAGAGGAACGCGGCATGGCCACGCGGTTTGACCAGCTGCGGGCACATGTTGACTCAACTTGGGAGCGCTGGCTTCATTACTCCAATCAAG